TTTTCAGGGGAATATGGTATAACAGCATAAACACCGAGACAGAGAGCAGTTGTTAGAGCCAGATATTTTAAATTTTAATACTTCATGAAATAGGTGTGGAGACCCCTTGTTTCAATTCACTTAAAGTCCAAACTATGAGTTGGACAAAGCATACTAAAAGCTGAGGATAGATACCCAGGGTGGTGTAGTGGATAGAGTGATGGATTAGCACTCAGGAGACCTCGGGTTGAATCTCTACTCAGCCATGCAAACTCACTGAGGTGTGAAACTGATAAAACCATTCCTTTAATATTTCACTTACCTAGAAAGCCCTATTAGGATTGCTATAAGTCTGTTCTGACTTGACAGCACATAACAACAACAAAGGCCAGTCATGCCTAGTTCAGATCTATATTGGGAGTGTTCTCTCCGTCCCCCTCCTCCAAGTTTGCCCTGATGGCTAGTTGCCTTTCCAGAGGTGATATTTACTGGAAAGATATGCTGTAGATGTGACATTAGTCTATTTACATTAAAAATGTGCTCCACTTTTACTTTTCTTTCAACCAGGTAAAGAATCTCTTAGCCCTTCCTTAATTTCTACTTGATATACCTTTTTTGGAAAAAAAAATCAAAAGATTTGCAAGTGATTTGTTGTAACTTAAAAAAAAATCCATAAAATAATCATATTAGACTGCAAGACCCTTAAGGCTAAAATACAGCCATGTTGTCACGGAGTGGCACTAAAACAGTGCTGTAACGATTGTGCAACAAACAAAATGCTAGAACAATTTATCTTCCTAGTTTTATGAAGGCAAATGGAACAGGAGCACCAAGTACATATACATTTTGCAGAGCCATATTAATTCTGTCAATCCAACCAGCCAAGAATAACTACAGAGTAGCTTAATAGAGTTTGAGAATAATATCAGAGCACAATGCAGCAGGCAGTTGTTCTCTATAACCTCTCTTAGAATTAATGGCAACTGTGGAAGATTTTATTTTATTTCTGTTACCTAAATCCAGTGTTCATACCACCTACAGCAGAGCCATGTAAAGTTATGAAGCCCATCAAAAAGAGCTACTAAAATCCTTTTGATTTCAGTGGGTCTTCTTTAGCTAAGCCTTGTGCTGGATTTAACACAATGAGGTTTGTGCTAGCGAGCTTTTGGTCAGATTATACCCTTCACTTTCAATTTAGAGAAATCAGGCATGCTGGCCACATTAACAGAACTACATGAATGGATGAACCAAAAGATAGCAAGTTGAGGTGGTAAGGGAATATTTTAAAAAAGTGTTCTTCATTATTATAGCTGTATTGCCATAATAAGAATCCATAATAAATGTAGCTGACAAAAATTCATGATTCAATTGGCCAGTGAAGTAACCACTTTGGGAGCTTGAAATGCCACTACCCTTAGTCTGAGTGACAGATTATTCTAAAGCAGAATCCCACAATTGTTACTGTGCTCCTACAATCAGAATTACACCTAAATCTCAATTTAAAATCTCAGTTACCCTAGAAAATAAATATGTATAAATACTTTTAGATGAATTTCTCTAACAGAAGAAATTAGTAACTCTAAGGTGTAATTAAGAGTTTTGTTTATAAACAACTACCAAAGAGGCACTATTGCATATAATGCTGGTAAGGACTGGTAGCAGACGTTCAGATGCAAATAAGAGAAATTAAGTTCCATAACTACTTACTCTTTCACTTCCTTGGAGCTAAAATCCAAGTATCTATTGCTGATCCACTGAATCTCAAACCAGTCTCGAAAACCAGTGTTTCCACAGCATTTGAACTCAATCTGGAGCAAATCAATTGTCTTCTTCATGAAGCATCTTCCTGGAGTATCTGTATCACGATAGAACTTCATACCATTTCTTAGCCCCTGTTCTAGTGTACTTTCCAGAGAACCTCTCATCAGAAAACAAACAAGAACAACAAAAAAAATGAAGATGATAAAAAAGATGCACAATGCTAAGTAAATTTTCAGGAGTGGCTTCCACTTTGTAAATTTAGCAGGATCCAGAGAATCGTAGCATATCTTTCCTGCAAGAGCATTGAATGCACAAGCTAGTACACCCACCAATATCAAGGAATTGGGCACAAAGTGACTTTCAGAATTGTCCATCACGTCACTTCTCTTTCTGAGCTCAATTTTCAAGAACAAACCCATTGAGAAAACAACGATCCCTGCAAACACTGAAAACCAGTTCATGAGCCACAGTCCTTGTGCTAGTTTTACTCTTTTCTTCTGGTTGAACTTGACTTTCATCACTGCCATCTTAGCAAAGTTTGATGCACCAAGACTACACAGAAATTAATCCTTTTTTCCAGGAGGGAACCAGCTTTTAGGAAGATCTGCCACCATTCAGGCCTGGAAGATTCTTAATGGTGTAGCTTCAGCTGAGCTGTCCTTTGAACTTTCCATCTTGCTGAATCTGAAGATATTCGGATAGAATTAACAAATTTCACACAATTAAAAAAACAAATAATTGGCAAATAGCTTATGCAGCTATTTCGGGTGGTCCCTTCTACGCAAAGGAGTCACAGCTTCAAAGTTGCAAATGATTAAAGCTGGATCTACAATACGTCATTCCAATACTAATCAGTGTAATCCAATTTAGAGCTATCTCTGCCAGCAGATGAGCATTGGGAATAATCCCTCTTTTTACTATTTAATGGATTTGCACTTTCACGTGATGCGTTGCAGTGCATTACAAATGAAAACCAAGGTATAAAAACATGTCCCATTCATTGATTCTTTAAGAGATGAAACTGAAGACTGGGTAAAAGTTGTATCATACACATACCTGTACCTTGATTTACAAAATGCTCCAAGCCAGTAAGACCTTGCTGCAGTTTATCTTGTGTCAATCACCTTGAATGACATCCTTTGGCTTATGTGTTTTGGAAGGGTGGAATTAAGGTCACATTTTCAGTGAACTGAAATCTTAAGTTTCAGGAAAGCCAGTTAACAAAATATACCATTCTTCTGGAACTACACCAAAGCATCTCAGAAACTCTTGCAAATATGAAAAAACAAAAACTCAAAACTCAAAAATATTGGTTTGAGCTCAAAATGCTGGTTTGAGCTAATTGTGGTGAGCCAAGAGTAGACCAAGACTCATTTGATGATATAAGAAAACCTTTAGCACAACACCAAGATTTTGTATCACCAATCAAGGAATCTCTGCTCCACTGTGATTTTTTTATAGAACTGCAGAATCTCCCTATAGTGTTCTGATAATGATATAGAGCCCCAGAGTATGGAATGGCAGTAGCTGTAAATTCTTTTGTACTGTTCGCTTTGTTGTATGGGGCTGCTCTTTAAATAATCACTGCAAATAAAATAAACCTAACAAAGATGTTAAATTTTAAATTAAATAACAACAACATACAAATGTGTTCCAAATTGGATGCACAAACAAGTTCCACGCACAAACAAGGCACCAGATCGAGTCCCTCAAAGAAAGTCCTAATAATAACTCTTTGATATCTCCAGGCAACTCTGTTTTTTACAGCCTTACCTTCATAAAGGATTCAAGATTGTTCCAAAGCCAGAATCTTCAACATCCTCAACCAAGGCAACAAGGACCTGATTCCTGCTCTAAGGGAACAGAAATTATTTTCTTGTCCATCCCTACCTGTTTCTTAACTGAAACTTTATGACTACAGTCCTAAGTATTTTCCCACTTACTAGGCTGGACCAAATAGCACATTAAGGGTTAAACCTGCATTTTATAAGCAAATATGCTAAACAGGGAACAAACTATCACTGATGTTGTTTCTGTTTTCCATCCTTTAATATTAAGGATATTCTTACCCCACTTTCAAATTTGTCCATGGCAATGATTTGTAAATACAGTAATTGTATAATATTTCATCATTATGTGTTCACCTTCTTGTAATTATTTTACAAGAGGAAATACTTTTGGAAAGTTAAAGACTAACACTAGTGGTTCCACACATTTTTTAAAATCATGCAGTACACCCAAGTACACCTTAACATACTTTAAATTCAGAAGAATGAAAGCACAATGTTCTAAACTGTGAGAAAGAGAAAACCCAAACCTTCATAAAGTGAATTATGTAAGAGAAACTGATTTCCTTATGCACCTTACATTCCCTAGAAAATTGTAAAATGTAGATTAGCATCTCATCACCACCTAGTGGCTAACAATGAAATTACAAGGAGTGCAAGGTTTTCTAGGTACAGTGGTGCCTCCTTTTGTTCCGCGAAAAACGTCGTCTTGAGAAAACATTGTCTTGTGAAACGCAGTTTCCCATTGGAATGCAATGAAATCTAATTAATGTGTTCCAATGGGAAAATAGTCATCTTGCGAAAATCGTCCATATAAAACATCATCTTGCAAAACGCGGTTCTCCATTGGAATGCATTGAAATCTACATAATGTGTTCCAATGGGGAACGCGGTTCTCCAGTGCAATGCATTGAAATCTACTTAATGCATTCCAATGGGGAAAAATCGTCGTCTTGCGAAAATCATCCATAGAATACATTTTTACGAACAGTGTTTGCAAAAACCAATCGTCTTGTGGATTAATTGTCCCGCAAGGCAATCGTCTTGCGAGGCACCATTGTATAGATTACCTAGAAGTGGTTCATCACTACCTTCATTTGGGCAGCCCCGAATATAAAGACTTGTCCAAGGCTCAGATCCTGGGAGACACAGTGGAGAACAAAACTCCCAACCTCTGGCTTGATACCCAACTCACTGAGCTATCCAGCCAGCTCAGTTCTATCACTAATAAGCATTAATACAGCATGTACAGTGGTGCCCCGGATAGCGATGATAATCCATTCCAGATTAATCGTCGCTATCCAGAATTGTCGCTAAACGGAACTAAAAAACCCATAGGAACACAGTAAACTTTGTTTAATGCATTCCTATGGGCCCCAAACTCAACGCTATGCAGAGATCCTCCATTGCGCCGCCATTTTCGCGCCCTCGGTAAGCGAGGGCAGGGTGCGAAAACACTTGTGGCAGCCATTTTGGGCACCCGGCGGCCATTTTGGAACCGCCGATCAGCTGTTTCAAAAAACATTGCAATGCGAAGATCGGTAAGCAAAACACTTACCGATCATCGCAATGCGATGTTTTACCATTAAAAACATCGCAATGCAATCGCATTAGCGATCCCAAAAAATAGATCGCTATGCAGATTTGTCGTTAAAAGGTGTGTTCGTTAAGCTGTATTGGTTTTTATAGGCAGTCAGCATGGATGTTCAAAAGATGTTTCTGGGACTGAGTATGGTTTCACAACTGTTGCTTTGTCACAGTAACTTCCAAAATGTAAGACATAAGTTAGAGTAGAAATCTTCTTGGATTACAAAATAAACCATACTGATAAGTTTCCAATTATAAGTATTGAAAAGTAAAACAAACCAGAGATGAGATTAACCTTCTTGGATCAATCGCTTAAAAAAACCCTACAGTGACTTACGTATTTTCTGGCTTCTATGGAAATTCCAAATGGTAAGCAGCAAGAACTATTTTTGTGTCCCAATAGAGTATGTGAGCTGAAACAAAGATGTCAAAAATAGTAGCTTTGTTGGGAAATTTTCTCCTGTTTTCTTTGTAAAAGAAAACATGCATGGCAAGTGATGTCCAGTATTTTGGGTCATTGTTCACAACAGTTCATGAGACAATGCATCAGGATACCTATGCTTGTAGGTCTAGATCTATGTGGAGTTTTCAATAAAACATGACTCTTGGATGACTAAATGTACTGTACTGGTGATGAATTGTTAATGAACAATTTTCATCACCACTGGTAGAAACTTTTGCAGTTCCTATTTCAGCATATTCATTATTTGAATCTGCATTTTCTTTGGTAATTTCTGCTTCTAGAGTCTGGTCTAGGACCATGTATATTTTCTAATACAATCTGACCTCACAGTAAATGTTATGACTAATACAAATATGCAAAACACATGAAAAGAGCATACTAAATGAGGCCAAATGTCTGTGTAACCCAGCACTCTGTTCACACAGTGAATAGCAACCTATCAGAAAGCCACTGAGTTATTTTTTAAAATCAAACTAAAAATCAGCAGAGGTGGTTGGTAAAGAAACTTAAAAGTATAATGTAAACCTCATTGTTACTATTTACTCCATAAAGGAAGATAGCTCAGAACAGCTACATCGACAATCTGCCATTCCCTTTTTTCTGTAGTTGCTGCTTACTTTCAGAAATCCATCTGGACACCTTCCTTGTGGAGCTTGTTACCATGTTCTTTGCAATGTAACAGTCTTCTATATCTCTTCTAAACAGACATTAAAAGGAAAATTTCTCAGAATTTTTGTGTGGTTGCTATGAAAACCTTGCTTTGGCAGAGCTGTCCCTTTTTTAAAGGCCAAAGAGCTTGGCAGATGCTGTTATAGCAGCAATCCATCCAACTACAAAGAAGTTTTTTTATTCACATTAATACATGGGCAATTTCTTCCCTGCCAGTCTGAGTTCTGCATTTCTAGTCCCATCATTATTGTGATAGAAGTACTGTATGTGAAAATGAAGAGGCACAGAATAAATGAGAAGCGGCTTATGTTGTAAGCCGCCTAGAGTGGTCGCAATGACCAGATAGCCGGGGTATAAATAGAATAAATAAAATATATAAAAATAAATAAATAAGCTGTTTTAAATATAAAATTCACAAAAAAATCTTAGATATTACTGATCTTAATCCACGGTAATTAGTTTTCCTTTTTACTGGACTCAAATAAACAGAAATAAAAAACTGAAATGTATTTTTATTTCATGAGGGGCAAGAATTTGTTTTTATTTTAACAGTTCAGGAAATTCTGAAGTATGCTAGTATAAATATTAAAATAAAAAAGAATGACCTTGCTTACAGTAATCAGAAATAAACAATTTTACATAGTGTTCTTAGGGAGTCAAACAATAACAAAGCTGTTACATCTAAGGAAGAATATCATACTTTCGTCAAAAACGAAGCAAAAAGTAAAAACTTTGAAATGTTGAGACCACTGTACATTGTACAAAAAGAGAAGTGCTTTTGCAACCCATCACTGGGAAAACAAGTTCTTAGATAATGAGAAACAGAAGACAAAATCCAGCCAAAGTTAAACACGTTTACATCCCGCTAATTTCAGAGAAGTTCAGAGAAGGAATTAACGCTATGCTTAACTATTTCCAGTTTCCACTGAAGTACTTAACTACAGCAGAACCATTGCAGATACAGAACAAATGGATGCTATGTTATGCATTGGATCCAGGACCAGAATATTTGTAAGTTCTAGCACAAGGTGTCTAAAGCTCACGTAAACATCATACTCTCACATAATGTTTGCAGGATTTTATTTCAAATAGATTTTATACAATAAGATTTTGGTAACAGGGCAAGGGAGCTAGATCAGAAACATGTGAAGCAGAAGTGGAGATTTTCCTAGAAGCAAAAATCAGACAATCAGTTGAAGGCAAAAAAGGTTGTCAGTACCTATGCATGTACTATTTCCAAAATGTTACCCATTATATACTGTACACTATTTCAAAAAATAAATAGGCTATAATGGTTCCTGTATAAGCTTGTCCAGTAAACAATAGTCACTAATAACATTTCTCCATTTCAAATATCTCACATCAGTCTGTTCTCCAGTATGATCTTCCTTTTTAGCACCAGTTCCACTTTCATAAACATGTTAAAGAAGTTAAATTATCTGTCACCCAAATTTCTCATTTCTACCATACACATATAACAAATTATTTCAGTGACACTGAGAACCTTTAAATTACCAAAATTTTAACTGAAGGCGGCAATCAACAGTGGAGAAACAGTGATGTGGTTATACAGAGAATTAAAAAGGTACAAAAACAGGAGTTAGTATATACACTATCAGTTAAAGCAGGATGAAGGAGGTAACAATATTTTAGTAATCTCATCAGGCTGCTTTAACAGATAGGGAATGCAAATAAGGTGCATGACACTGGCCTTTCAAACCCTAACATTACTTTCACCTCCTGGCACCAGCTTTGTTGCCAGCACAGATGGGTCGCCCCCCCCATGCCACCCTTTAGGCATAATCGGCAGGGAAATCAAACACCCGTTCAGTTCCAGTCCCTGGCCCTCTCGTTTTCGGGAATCACACTCCAGTTCGGGGAGGCCTCATCTCTGGCCAGCCAATTGAAGTCATCCACTTGGTTCCAGTTGTTCCGGCTTCTATCCAGCCTGGACGTCTCGAAATCGACGTCGATGCCTGCATAGGTCCAGGTGTAGGGGGCGAAGCGGATGTTGCTGCAGTCCTCCAACATGGCCCGGCTGGTCACCTGCACGTAGAAGCTGGTGTCGGTGGTGCGGTTGGTGCGGAGCTGCTGGCAAGCGAGGGCCAGCAGGCAGCCGCGGCAGCCGTCCACCCGCGCCGAGGTCGACACGGGCCCGCAGAGCACCGTGCAGTCCCGGCAGTGGCGCACCAGCAGCGTGTTGGGGTTGCCCCTCAGCCGCACCCGGCAGCGGCGGAGGCCGGAGAGCACCACGTCGCGCTGCAGCAGCTCGGCCGGGCCCAGCTCCAGCTCTTGTCCCTCGGCTCCGCTGAAGCCGCAGCCGGGCTCCACCGCTAAGGAGGAGGAGGAGGAGGCCGCTGCTTCCCCGGAGTCTTGTGGGGAGTCCTCCTGAGGCGGCGGCGGCGGCTGGAGGGGCGGCGCGGCCT